TTAAACTCAAAAACCCTATAGCTCTTTTTCCCCCCCCCCCTGAACCGCCCCCCCCCCCCGCCATCCCAACTTTCTCAGCTTTGGTTGAAAAGCTCCAATCTTCAATTTGTTCCACTTTTTCTTTTTCCAATACTTTGAACCCAGGGAGTCACCAGATCTATTCTTTGGTAAGGAAAAGGAGGATGGTATCATGGTTGGAGGATGGAACTTTGCTGCTTCCCAGCAACAAAAATGTTTTTAAAGTTTTTAATGTTTTAAGCAGAAGGTACAGGCAACTTGAGTAGCACCAAAAGGTTTGGGATTACAATCCCAACTATAGTTAGTTAAGAATATTTCTCCTTTAAATATAAAAAGACTTATTCCTGAGTAAACATGTAGGATTACATTCTAATAGTATCTCTGCTCAATAATTCACACTGGATCATCTCTCACAAGTTTGCATCAGGATGTAAAATCAGCTGAAAGAATTGTAGGGCTATATCTTTAGTTTTAACCTGATAACATCAGCCCTCTTATGGCACTCTGACTGATGCTAAGACATTTGGAACAGGGAAGTCTATGTGTAGCCTTCAATATACATAGTCTTTCTGAGATTTTGGAACCCTGACCATTAAAGGATCCAGGAGAATAAAGTTCCACATGAGGTCTACAGATGTACAATCATTTATGTTAACATACAAAATAAGGGCATGAAGAAATGTGCAACATTCTGGGTGATGCTAAAGACATGGCCCATATCCTCTTTGCATCTTCATTTTTATATACAAAGACTGCTTTTTAAAAATTATATATGATCTAGATTTCATGTTATCTTTGAGAAACAGGAATAAATAAATGGAAAATAGTAGAAATAAGTGAAGCATCATGACCTTTTGGAAAATAAAACATGGCAATGCAATTATATGTATTTTTTCTCAGAAGTTAAGTGCCACTGAGTTACTTGAGATTACTCCCAAATATGCACACATTATAGGCAATAGTCAGTGAAATGATACAAAATATCCATAACATAGTTTCCATTGTGCACACAATAAGACTGAGGTATTAATTTCCAAAATGTGCTTCACATCTTCTGAAATCAGCAGTGTCAGGTTTGTTATTGTTTCCATATTTTTCAATTATTTTTTGCACAATGTATTCTTTAACAATGTCCCAGATAAAATGGAATGAAGTTAAGATATGTGTTGACAAAAGTTCTAGTTAGGATGAAATTTCTTAAGTGAGCAATAACTACTGTATTCTCATGAGCAAAATTTTAGCCCTATTTCATAATAATACATTTGAAATAGCTGCCAACTTCAGCACAGTGTCCAAGACCATTTTCACATATGAATACCATTTTCTTTTTTACTGTCTGTGATATTCATTTCAATATGATTGAAGGCTGGGTTGTCAGTTCCTTCACTGGATGGTTTCCAGTTTAAAACTTCTACTTTCTCTTCCTGGAAAAAAAATACATGTTTAGAATAAAATATAATAAAGAACAACGTATGTAATAATAAATGTAAACATCCGAGTAAGTATATGTAATTTTGCCTAGTGACCAAATTATAGTAATATTGGTATAAGGTAAATTATCCTGGGAAAGAAGTTCCAGAACTCCTGGAAGAGAGGAAAAACTATTTTAGATATCTGGGTCCCAAGCCATGCAGGGATTTAGGGATTAATAACAAGCCACTGAACTGTGCTCAAAAAGGGATCAATAATCAACAAAGTTCTTTGGTAATTTCAGATCCTGAAATAACTGTTAATAACCTTGCAGTTATATTACAAGAACAACTGTAGTTCTCCATCAGTACTTAAGAAATGACCAGTGTACCACATATTGTGAACACATGATATGAAGTACTCATGAGAGACTATATTTAATTGTAAACAAAACAGATTTTAATTTTAAGATATTAATTTAATTAGCATTTTGGGAATAGTGCTTCTTATTGCTTGACAATCCCCTGAGTGGGCAGATGCAGTTTTGAGAATGCTCCTACATCCAGCATTGTTCTTAGATACCCAAGTCACAACAGTGGTGGCCCAGGATAATGTTTACCAGTTTGGGTCAATACATTAGCTGCACTTACTACTGGAAGACAACATTTGATCATGCCATTCATTGACAACTGCAGGATTAGATTATTGCAATGTGTATTATATGAGATGGTCCTTGAAAATAGTCTGTTATTTCAACTAGTTGAGAATTTATCTGCTCATCTGCTGCCATGTAAATAAGACATATGGAAATATAACATCCTCATAGGCTTTCAGTTTCTATATTGAAGCCAAAGACTAGATACTGATTTTATACAAACAAAAGGTTTAAATCCTAAATATTTCAAGCAGAGGCTCTCCTTCTCAGTTATTACAATTTCAAAACAAGGTCTTAATTCAGATATGATAAACTGAAAGCTAGACTCTCACCAAGAAAGTACAAGATTTTTTTCCCCTCTTCTTTGGAACACTATCCTTTTGGAAGTTTAGAAGGGACAAAATTTCAGAGGGGACTGAAAAGTCTTTCCTTGAATAAAGATATGTATACTCAATTCCCCATGTTAGCTTTTACAGTAACACATAGCTTCATTCAGTGAAAGACTTCTGGCATTTTATATTAAACATGATAAAGAAATTAACCAAAATGCAACCAAAATGCTTAAGGAAATAAATACAGATTTCTAATACAGGAACTGTTATTGTTGCTTTCTTGTTGAACTTTATTGAAAGCTCAGCTGAACCAAAGTAGTGCTAGATTTTGCACGCAGTTAATAAAAGATATAAAAGTATCTTTTTAGCCACCAAAGAAATGGTATTTAACAGTATACTTGCAAATTATTTCAGCTTTTCAGAATCAATTTGTGAATAAAATTTCCATAAGCTAATCAAGTATTTCATTATTAAGACACAGTATTAAAAAGGACTGTTTCTGGCTTTCTGTTAGGGGGTTAGACAATGTCTTAAAGAAGAGTTTTATTTATAAAAGAAAGCCCTGCACAAAAACCTCTATAGCCTAACTCAGATGGAACCAGGCTTTGATCATCTAACACATTTTGACACACACTCTGTGGATCCACTGAGGGGAATAATTGTTGGGGTGGGTTTTTTACTGCTTATATGCAGCAGAGGACATAATACAATTTTCCAATTGCCAGAACTGTCCATCAGGGTGGGAGTGTTAAAATCTGCAAAATGGTGGGCATGATGTTGCAGTCAAAGCCCTGCCCTTTCTGTCCTTGCATGCAAGGTCAATGCATGTACAAAAGAGGTAGAGTTTAGATCATGATGCCAAACCTGCCATGTTGCAGATTTTGACCTCCTGCTGTGGACATCACTGCCAGTGGCAGAATCTGGTAGAGGACTCTTCTGCTATATCCTTAGACCCTTCAACCCTCAACAAAAGCTAGTTAAGAATTAGGTATTTTTAAGATCCAGGACCTCTTAAATATTGATCTTTCTTCTTTTTTGTAATAATATTTCTTAGCCAGAAAATTATAACAACATTTTAATGGTCAAATTTACTTTCCCACAGGCTATAAACTTTATAAATATATAAAATTTAGTATTTATACCCTAGGTTAGATACAAATGTAAACTATGCATTTACTGCTTCTTGGAACTATCAATTTATGTAGGAAGGCAAAAATGGGGTGACCATTCAAAGCTGCAGAATTAATTTAAGTTTAAAGGTTAAAAAAAAAACTATTTTTATATAACATCATCACAAATGTCTTAATAAATTCATGAAATCTCTATGGTGAGATTAAAGTACATAGCTGGCTGTAAAAAAAAAAACTTAGTGACCAATCTCATCTATAATATGTAGATGCCTATGAAACATATCTCCCAGTGTCATTCTGACAGTGTCCAATTATTCATTCAGATAATAGCCAGGAGTAAATATAATTCTGATGGGATGAATATTGAGGGCAAAAAGAATTGGTAACAGCAAAACTACATTTCAGAAATAAGTTACAGTATAATAATTCTGACCTTTCCAATGGATTGTACTTGGACCTATCTTTGAAGATAATTTGGACTCTTAATTTAATCAAATAGAATTACCATCTCACTAATTAGGGGACAAATCTATACAATGATGTGATTCCAGTACTTCAACAGCTGCACTGTGTCTGTGCTCAGTTCAAAGCACTGGTGCTACCTTCAAGCCTTAAACAGCTTGGGGCAAGAGTTTATATCAGAATGCCTTTTCTTATTCAAGCCTCTCTGGACACCTCGGTCATCTTTGGATTCTTTGTTTCTTTACAATCCTTATCTGTCTGGAGTCTAATAATATAATGTATACATACTTGTTTTGATTTAAAAAATGAGTTATAAAAAAGGTCCTCTTTGTTCAGTAAGAATTTTCTGTCCACTTTCTGCCAAAGTCCTCCTGAAAAACATCTATTTGGTTAGTTAAAATACATTCACACAGAGTAGAATTTGTTCAGTTAAATTATCGTTTGTACACAATAGTAACACTAGTATTAACATTAGATGGCATGTCTTGAAATCCTGTTACAAAAAACGTAAATGCCTCACCATATCTAATGATTATTTGTAATATGCTTGTTTCTTTGTTTTTTGAATTGTATTATTTATTTATTCATTATTACAAATCCATATCCTACCTATTTGCCTCAGTTAAAATCTATAAAGACATCAAGCTAATAAGAAACTTCAGATAAAATAGTGCAAATGTATGACAAGGAGTCAAATATCCACTAGGTCAAAAGAGAAGTGGAACAAAACGCTTTTTGATGTAGAAGGAACCACGTGGACTGAGAAGTTTAGATGTGACAACAGAAAGAAACAATACTATATATTTCTACTAGCCAAACTAGTAGAATATCTATCAGACACTTCCCAAATCAGTCTTCTCCAACCCGTGTTACACCACAGCCAGGCTGGAAATTCTGGGAATAGTCCAAAACACATGGAAGGTGACAAGTTGGAAAAGACTGCTCCAGATGATCTAAAAAAGCAGGAAATTCACAAGACAGCAACCATTCTTTAATATCCTAGCCCTTATCTGTTTAAAGATGTAAAGATAACAGAATTTAAACTGTGGCTGGAAATGAACAAAATTCATAATACAGTACATTTTTATGCAGCAATCACACATCATGCAACTCAGGTCTGAATCAGATGCTACTCAAGCAACCTCCTATAAGGTATGTAATAATTCTATTTTGATGTGGAGTTTGTGTTCTGTAATATAATCAGTACTCATGACAGTGAGACCATTTTTCATGCATCTGAAGTAATCTTGAAATTTATCAACCTGATTTGAATTTGCAGACATCTAGGTTAGGTTCAGACAGTTAAATAAATTACAATTTAAAATAAAATGAAGCTTTGCCATGTACCAAATTATTTGTTTAAGTAACTATATTAGGCTGTGCACATTTTGAAAATGATTCAGAAGTGCTTGTGTGAGCTCAGGTAAACACCTTTCTGTTATTCATTAAAGCAGTCTGACTTTCAGGCTTCTGAAGAAGATTGAAAAAAATTGTTACGGTATAAGAAATCCAGTTACTCTAAAGCAGTGTATATTGTTTTAATTAATACTGTACTGTAAAGGTACTTTACTTGCCCAGGCTGTGAAATATAGAGAGACTTTTATTACAGAAGAAGGAAAAATAACTTTCAAGGTTTAAAAGTTTAATATTATAAACAAACCAAAAATTAAAACTTGATTCCTAATGGATAGTTAACTTCTGGATTCTTTAAATCCAGATATTGATGCTATGTCAAAGCAGAAACCTAATCCTAACATTTCTTGATATTATAAATTCAGATATGATTTTATATAGAGTGGTATTTGAATTCTGTTCTTCTGGAAATCAACCTATACTTTTGATAAAATCAAAATAGAAGAATAATTACCTGACAAAATGCTACTGACTATTCCCACAGCAACTGTCATCAGAGTTCCAATTGCACTTAAGTACAAATAGGATAAGGAATACAAATTATCTGCAAAGATTGATCTAGGGGCAAAAATAGAATTTATTTGACATATTTCCACAATTTATATGAAATCTCACAATGAAAATGTTATTTGAAATATAAAGACTTTAGCAAAGCAGTAAGGCAGTTATAGTCAACATTCTCTTGCTGCCTTCATTCATACAAAGAAAACAGCCTCGTGCACGCAACAGTACGGTGCACAAACCAAGCAGACAGAGCTTGCATTGCAACAGCACAACATTGTCATTCTACCAGACTTTGGCCACCCTTGTGCACACTGTTGATTATAGTCACAGAAAAACTTTACTCAAAAGTAAGCCTAAAGATGGACTTTCAGGCTATGGGAACACCAAAGCAAGGTAGTGGCTTTTCTTCTCTGTACCTGAAGAAGTTACACAGATTAAAAGCAGTCACTATAAAAACACAATCCCAAGATTGTTATCATTGTATCTGCCATTACAAAAGATTTGTCTTTAGGACATGGTATTTCTCTGCAAGAGACACAACATGGTGTCCTGGTTTACCTAACTTATTAAGCTATCATTGGTTTGTTTGACTTGGCTGTGTGCAATATGTTAATTCAGTCATGGCAATTTGGTAATCATAGTTGATT